CCTACTCTAGTAGTGGCTACCTTGGATTGTTTACTACTTGGACTACAAACATTTGCAATGAGTCTAGAGTCCAAAAGCAACACGGAAAACAACACAACACAATGCTGTGTGACGGTAAGGTAACTGGAGATACAGGGGACAGATACGAGAGACATTGATAATGTGGAGAAAATGAAAGCTGGCGAAATAACTCATCATGAAAAAAGCTCTGCAGCCAGATACTTTCCTATTTTCTCATGCACTAAATAACAACCCCCAAGCTGCTGCAGATCAACATGCTGTCCTTAGGTCACATTAGTTATAGTGTGTCCCAAAGTCAACACTCGATGGAATGGACGTAATCATTTCTAAAATTCACAACATGTTTTTATCTCATAAAATATTCTGCTTAGAAGTTTCACTTTGGTCCAACTGCTCTCCTGCACACACTGAAAACTTGTATTCATGGGCCCCATAATGCTGATGTTCAGGTGTATATCAGTATGTAGTGTCTCTACTTTAAAGAGTCCTCTCCTGCTGATGTTCAGGTGTATATCAGTATGTCTCTACTTTAAAGAGTCCTCTCCTGCTGATGTTCAGGTGTATATCAGTATGTAGTGTCTCTACTTTAAAGAGTCCTCTCCTGCTGATGTTCAGGTGTATATCAGTATGTAGTGTCTCTACTTTAAAGAGTCCTCTCCTGCTGATGTTCAGGTGTATATCAGTATGTAGTGTCTCTACTTTAAAGAGTCCTCTCCTGCTGATGTTCAGGTGTATATCAGTATGTAGTGTCTCTACTGGGACATGTCTCCATGCTTTAAGGTTCATCTTAAAGCATTATTTTTCTCATACTGCCTGTGCTGCAGCACCTCTTTTCACCCTCTGTCTGAAACCAGAGCTGCTCTGATTGGTTAGCTGGCCGGCTCTGTTGTGATTTGTTAACTGCTTAGAGATGTCCCGCCCCTTAGCCTCGTCACATACAATGTGTTGGAGCACTAACCAAGCAGCGAGAGTGTTGTGATGTGTGGGAGAGAAACTCTCTCTGGAGGGAACACAGGGATGTTAGCCTCTGCAGACCATTGACATGCAAAACAAACCTATAGGGAAACCCCAAAAAGCAGACATGGGGCTCTTTAAACTAAGACTTTTTTCAAAATCATAAACTATGATGACAAATATTCAAAGTTTCATACTGTATGATAACCTCAGTACAAGTAGCTTTTTGACTGGGGGATAACTACTCCTCTGTCTTGTAGACACAGAGTTTACTTTAGAAATGTCTCACAGCGCAGCTACATTACACTGGACATTCTTCTCAGCTCTGAGGCAAATGTATTTCAATTTAAATGAGTCGTCAGCCACAAAGCCATTATCAGAGCAGCTGTGAATGAGGAGTGGAGCCATTGAGGATCCGAGCAGCTGAGTATGATGGATTTGATGCTCGGCTATCCAATCACTGCTAAAATGAGTCATGTTTGCCTATTCCTCCAAACAGCATTTTTACTTAAAATGCAAATAACAAGTCGAGTCATATCACCTACAAGTATTACAAGATTCCAATAGTCAATATCATAAATCAATCAATAAACGTACTCTACCCAGGAGCACATTCTTGGACTTTTCTTGTAAACTCAAAGACGAAGAATAAGAAGTTTGTGAATGACAGGAAATAGTGAAAAATGTCAATCCCTGTTTCTCAGAGATCAAGGTGACATCTTTAAACGCCATCTCCTGTCAGTCCACAACACACTTTAACATAAATACATGGACAAGCAGAACATCTCCTTACTTGAGTGGCTGATAACTGCGCATTCTGACACTTCTGCATGAACAATGACTTTAATGATTCATCGGTTGTCAAAATAGTTGGTGATTATTTTTCTGTTGATCGATTGATCACTTCAATTCTGTTCAAAATGTGTGCCACAGAAAGTGTGAAAACTTTAACAGTGAATGTATCACCTGACAAGAGAGGGTCAGACAGCACTCCTGTTTCGCTGCATGTTCCTCACCGTGTGTGACTGACATGATTCATTAAGTTGTGGTGGCAGTTGAACTCCACAAACGTTGGGAGAGATGGCGTAAGGTGTTAAAAACAATGAGTGTTTTCTCCTGGGCTCAGCTGCTGCCTCTGCAAACACAGTGTGGATGCAGTCAGCAGGAATGACACAGAGTCAGCAGTAAAGGAGTCAAAGCTACTCCACCTGCACAGAGGGCACAACTCTGCTGCACTCAGAAGAGGACAACACTGCCTCTTTATTTGAAGTTCCCATGTGTCATTTTCCTGTTTGTAAGCATGTAAGTATCTCACTGCTAGGGCACAACAGGCACAGGCTGTGAAATCCATCTTAGTCTTTACGTGGGGCCATGCCAGCGGATTGTACCAACTAATCGGACAGGGTTGGAATGGAGAATGAAGGCCACCCTGAAGAAGATGCTTTGGAGTGAAGCTGTACGAATACAAGCAAAAGCCACAATACGAAGTAGGCAATGCTGCTGGTGAAGGAGAGTCGCATGGGGGGAACTGCTCCCGAAGGGTTAACTGGGTTATAGATGAGTATACGAATATGAGTCAACAACAATTGTTACCAGAAAAACAAGAATATGCACTAAGATACTTTTTCATCATTGTTAAGCCAAGACATGTGTTTTAGAGGAAATCAAAACATTACATCTATTTTGATTTCATGGGAAATTGTAATGTTCCCTTTAATGTTTCTGCTTTGTCTATGTTGGTATATTGATACATTTGGGAGGGATGCCTCTGGACACGTGGTTTGGTCTTTAGCCCCACAGAGGGACATCTAAAGCTCTAGTGTGAGCCCACCGCCTGTGGAGACATCTCATCTCTAGCTGCGGGCTGTCCGTCTGCTCTGTAAAACCCTGTCTTCCTCCCCACACAGCAATACACACACACACACACAACACGGAAAACAACACACCACAATGCTGTGTGACGGTAAGATAACTGGAGATACAGGGGAGAGGTACGAGAGACATTGATAATGTGGAGAAAATAAAGCTGGCGACATAACTCTGCAGTCAGATACTTTCGTATTTTCTCATGCACTTTCCTATTTTCTCATGCAATAAATAAAAACCCCCAAGCTGCTGAAGATCAACAGGCTGTCCTCAGGTCACATTAGTTATAGTGAGACTACAATAGCCCTGATATTCACTGTGCATCTTTTCCATTTCCCACATTGCTGGGTGTCAGCAGGGAGGAAAGTCACATTAATAATGATGCTAGCACAGAGAGGATAGAGCACCATCTTATCTCTTATCTTATAAAAACATTCCACAGTCCAGAAAATATTTCTACATTTTAAACTGTAGGTATACGTTATTGTTGGAGGCATATTAAAAGGCCCAAGAGCAGCACACCTAGGCAAATGAAACGCAAGAGGAGAAAAACTGACCTGAGACGGACGATGGCATCATGTTCCCGGATCTTTGGACTTCATCAAATTTGCTGAAGATTACATTCAACCTGGAAAATAAGAGGTAGTGATAAGAAGTATGTAAAGATGATACAAAATAAAAGGAGAGTAAATACAAAGTGTCAGAAGTTTGAAGCGAAAGAGAGAAAGATGGTTTGTGGAAAAGGACCCTGCCCTGCACCATCCATCACTTCCTATGTGAGAAGTTTCCCCCTTTGTGCAGCAGGGAGGGACAGGACCAAAATAGACGGTGTACAAAGCCGCCACACACATGACAAAT